AAAAAAACATACACTACTCTCAATCTCACCCATAGATATGGCGAGTATCAATTACAGAAGGCAAATGTGAAACATGGACAATTTTATGGCGCGCTTTCATGTCAAGTAGTTCAACTAGTTTAAAAGCATTGAACGGCACATCAAAGACACAAAGAACATCAAAGCACCGAATGTGGGAAATTCACAGCTGCTTACGTTTTGTCAACGCCGAAAATTGTGTATATAAACCATTGCAATTCAACGAAATGCAACAGTCAAACAACATTGCTTCGTGACTAACGAACAAACATCGAAATCAATTCCAATTCCAATTCAACATGAACCCAAAAGTGGTAAGAATTAATTTTGAGAAGTTAAAATCTAATATTATAGAACGAGCAAAATTTCATAAAATTAATATTTTTCGCCAGAAAATTTGATTTAAAATTACAAAAAGAACTTCACCTGCAAAAATCCTTATGTGAAGGAATGTGGTCGGACATAAACAAGTGGAATTCGGTTGAAAATAAAAAATTTCCTTTTCAGATTGTCTTCTTCGCCCTCGTCGCTGTGGCTTTCGCTGCTGAGAGCTCTGAACGCAACCCACGTTCGGTGGTGTACACCTCACACGTTGGTGTGGCCCCAACATTCTATGAAGCAACGGTCCCAACTTACAACTACTACCGCACACGAAACTTAGACAAGTAAGAGACAATTTGTCTATTTGAGTATTGGAATGAATCATCTTAATAAATGGTTGTGGCATATATTTGCATTCTACAGATACCCACCAGGTGTTGACCCGATCAAATGCCCAAACTACCCATACTGCGGTACTGATGCTGGTTCCCTTGTTGTGCCACCAGTTGCTCCAATCGTTCCAGCCCCATATATTTCAGCTCCATATATTTCAGCCCCAATCCTCCCAATTGGCTCCCGCTACTACTACGTCAGCAAATGAATTACAAGCCTAAATCCAAGCATTTCTAATACAATTCATCTAAATTGAACCTAATAAATCAATAACAACTGAAAAGTATTGGTTTTTATTATTACTCCTTCCTTGCTTTCGTCCTATTGGCTTCTGAGTTGATTATTTTTTATTACGATAGTATAATGATGTTATCTCACACCTTTTTGGTATTTCCGGCTTGGAACAGGGAATTTGAACGAGTTTACCGTATCGTTTGTTACTGTAATAGGATTCTTATTGACGATCTCCTGTTATTTGATTTCGATATGGAAATTAAAAACCATTCTGAATCAGTTGAAAAAAAAAAAAAAAAATTTGGATTCTTTGGGCAAGACTGTAAGTAGAGTATGTTTCACGGTTCCATCTCAATATACCGAGAACATTTATTCGGAACATACAAATAAGTTTTATTGATGTCACCATTTATGTTAGATGACAACGCTATTATACCTTGAACCATCCAAAGTGCCCACAATAATTTTTGAAATGGGGATGTTATTTTTTCTACTATTTTTATTTTTGAATGTAAATATTTCAGCGTTTTTTTATCGGAAATATATGAAATGAAATATTATGAAATGCTTTGTCCGAGGGGCAGATCACTCAACCTACACCTCACACGTTGGTGTGGCCCCAACATTCTATGAAGCAACGGTCCCAACTTACAACTACTACCGTACACGAAACGTAGACAAGTGAGAGACATTTTGTCCATTTAAGTGTTAGAGTGAATCATCTTAGTAAATGGTTGTTGCATTTACTTGTATTCTACAGATACCCACCAGGTGTTGACCCAATCAAATGTCCGAACTACCCATACTGCGGTACTGATGCTGGATCCCCTTGTTGTACCATCAGTTGTTCCAATCGTTCCAGCCCCATATGTTTCAGCCCCAATTCTCCCAATTGGCTCCCGCTACTACGTCGTCAGAAAATAAATTGCAAATTTAAATCAAAACCATTTTGACGCAATATTCCTAGAACAAAATAAACCGAATTTAATAAAATAATAGCGACTGCCAATTATCTTGTTTTATTTAATTCTGAGAAGTGCCAAAGTCCAACTTTCTACACTATTTTCCAGAAATTAAAAAATAAGCGGCAGCTTTCAACTATTCTACACTTCCATTGGATTTCAACGGTCAAAGTGTATCTAATGTATTGGAAACTAAATGCAAGTGGAGACGGTGTGTAAAAAATAGTGTAGAAAAACTTTTAAAATTGGGAAAATTCTTTTCTATTGAAAAATCACTTTTCTTCCGAATCTGGGGTTCACCTCATGATAGACTCAAAATTGTTTTTTTTCGGCAAATAATGGGATCTACGACCAGGAGCCGCACAACTGTTTGGGAAAGTCTAATGTGCATTCTTGCTATATAATAGTAGCTGTTTCATAAATATATATTTCCATACTGTTCAAGCCAGTCATCTGCTTTGCCTATGAATGCTTTTGGTACATCTTTCGACACGATTTTCACTTTGGGGATGTTAATTTTACTACTCATCGACACATGGACTTTCGTGAATTGTACCCGTTGAACTATATGCATTGATAAAAATTGAAAACATTTTATAACATGAGCAATAGCTAGAATAAAAATTGAATTTTCCAAATGTGGAATTTCACTTCAGAAATGCTATTCGATCGCATTTTTATTTCCGCCGTCTGAAGTACTGGTTGGAGTGTTAGGAAAGGATTATTTGTCAAAGAAAACACCATATTGATTGAAATATTTAGTGAGTACCTTTTTATTGCCTTCTTAATTACACATTGACGTGAAGATGGATTGTGTCTAATGATGTCAATCTCAAAATTTTATTCAATTCAATGACATTTTTCTAAACGTGATGAAAATATGAGGATTCTATTAATTTGCAATTAAATTCGTTGTATCTCTCAGCATTATAATCTGAATTGACCACACAATAAAGGCAGAAGTTTGACATTTGTTCTTTTCTATATGAAATAGTGTTTAATTCGAGTGATTGTACATGAAGAAGACCATAGTAGACGGTGAGACCTCCTCATTTCTTTGAAATATGATGCTTTTCCATATGATCATTGGCACTGAACTTCTGTGAAAAACGTGCCTCGCACCACTTGCACTGAAACGGCTTTTCACCTGTGTGATGAACTCGCATGTGGCTCCGTTGGTTGGTCTGATAAAGCGTGATATATTCACACATGTAACACTGATATTGACGTCGGTCGCAGATCGTTTCATGAGTTGTTTTATTCTCTGCTTGTGTGAATCCTCGGCGACACTTGGTACAACCGAATGGGAACTGATCACTATGGGTGGCCAAATGTTTATTAAGATGACCTTTATGGATGAATCCTCTTCCACATATTCCACATTGAAATTGATGTTCGCCGGCGTGTTTTGCTTGCATATGGCTTCTCAGATTGAACTTGACGAAACTTCTGTATTCGCAGAGATAACATTCGTATCGACGTCGTTTGCAGCGCTTTTCATGCGATTTTTTGGCCTCATCGGTGGCAAATCGTTGTCCACATTTCAGGCAAGAATGGGGAAGCTCATCATTGTGCGTCCGCAAGTGACAATTCAAAGTGAATTTTTGTGCAAAAGATTTTGAACAAACTGAACATACGAATGTTTTTTCTCCGCTATGGATTTTCTTGTGTCGATTCAAAACGCTTTTTTGGGTGAAACTTCCCGAACAGACATCGCATGTGTAGGGTTTGTCGCCTGTGTGAATACGAATGTGTATGGCGAGATGATATTTCTGTGATGCAACATAACCGCAAACATGACACTTGTGCTCCTTTCGTTTCTTCGCCGCCTTATTCCTCGGAATCTTTTGTTTGTTCTGTTTTCTTAATCCATCCCGTTTCATTTTCTTTACGCTTGAATTGAGTCCATTGCGATTGCCTTTTGATTTTACCGTTGAGTTACCACTTTGACCAGCATGGGCATTTGGTTTGTCTGCCTTTGAGCCTGAATCCGCTGTGGAATATTTCTCTGGCTTCTCTTCTTCGCACTTCACTTCCTCTTTCACACCATTCAAATCAAAATCGAGATTTAAATCACATCCAGGATCGCCCACTAATTCGATGTTCGATGTCACAGTCGCTGCAACTTCTACAAATCTTTCTTTTGAACGTGTCACCAAACCAAATTCACTGTCATCCGATGGCTCTCCCTTAATGTCGGGTTCTTGCTTGATTTCCACTTCAATACCATTTGCTTTACGCTTTACGAGACCATCCGAAGTACCTTCACCAGGATCCATATCCATGACCAATGCCAATCTGTCGAAAAATTGGAAAAATATGACAATGAGATTTGACAGTTCAGAAGATTTATTTTTTAGGAGCGATTTTTTTACTGATTTTGTAATTGCAATGAGAAATCAAAATTTTATCGGCTGATTCATGAATTGTTACAAATCATTGAGAAGACCGAAGAATGAATTAGTCTGACACGGTGGAAATCAAAGGAGAAAAATGACTCAGACAATGTCAATATCGCAGTCGCGTTGCACAAAGTGAAACCATTTAAAAAAACACACCCGATTCATTGGAAAAAATCCGTTTTGTATCTCTTTGCTTCTAAATGTATGGCATTGGTATCAAAATTATTTTAATACTTACAAATATCGCGTTGGCGTGCAAAATGTCTGCTTATCAATTTGTCCTGAGAATCACCGACCGAAAGATGTTTTTTCTATCTAATGTGCATCAATCAATACCAAAGCTGAATGTCAACTGAGTATGGCCTGTGGCGTGATACTTCGTTGTGTGTGTTGGTGTCGGTGAATGAACATTGACGTTAGGCTCTTTTCCATTTCGTTCCATCGTTCTTGACAAATGATCCTTCCAATCCGAGAATATAATTCAGAAACACTCAGTTCATTAGCAAGAAATAAAAATCATTTTAACGAAAACAGCAAACAATTGCATAAATTAATAACTCAATTTGGTTACTAAATTCTATTGGAAGCGAACATCAAATTGGGGTTCGAGTCAGAAAGTGATTTTGATCTTGATTTCGATTTGAATGGCGTGAAAGATGAAGTGGAGTGTGACAAAGGTAGAGAAGAAAAAGAAAAAGGTTCTCCAGCAGATCCGATCCACGATGAAGGTGAAGCAAATGCTCATGACGGTCAAGTCGACGAACCAATGGTCAAATCAAATGTCAAGCCACAGAGCCCCGAATCGAGTGGTGAAGGAAAGAAACGCGATGGGTCGAGAAAACAAAACAAAGGAAACATTCCGAGAAACAAGGCGGCGAAGAAACGAAAAGAGCACAAGTGTCATGTGTGTGACTATATTGCATCGCATAAAAGTAATCTCACCGCACACATTCGTACTCACACAGGCGAGAGACCATACAAATGCGATATCTGTTTGAAAAGGTTCCCTCAAAAAAGCGCTTTGAATCTGCACCAGAAAATCCACAGCGGAGAGAAGCGTTTCGAATGTTTCATTTGTTTAAAATCTTTTGCAGTAAAATGCACTTTGAATCGTCACTTGCGAACTCACACTGATGATCTTCCCCATTCTTGTCTGAAATGATTTGCCACCGAAGACGCCCAAAAATCGCATGAAAGACGCTGCAAACAACGTCGATACGAATGTTATTTCTGCGAATACAAAAGTTTCACCAAAGACAGTCTCAAAAGACATATGCAAGCAAAACACACCGGTGAACGTCAACTTCAATGTGGAGTATGTAGAAGAAGATTCATCCATAAAGGCGATCTTAATAAACATTTGGCCACCCATCGTGATCAGTTCCCCTTCCGATGCACCAAGTGTTGCCGGGGATTCACACAAGCAGAGGATAAGATAGCACACGAGGAGATCTGCGGCCGACGTCAATATCAGTGTTACATGTGCGAATATTCCATACTGCAAACGACCAACCTACGTTATCATATACGAGTCCATCATACAGGGGAGAAACCGTTCGAGTGCAAGTGGTGTGACAAGTGTTTCATTCGCAAGGACGAGGCCGAATCGCACATGAAACGCATTCATCAATCCAAAAAGTAATTCTGTGGGGAACATACATAACTGTTCTATTCCGTTTGAAATTTACATTTATCTGTTGACTGGAATTTAGAAATGACAAAAGACTTGAACTTTATTAGAATCCTCAAAATAAAATTCAATAAAATACATCTGTTTGAATGACATTTATCTTAATTGAAAGCCAACAATTGTGATTGTGCAATCGATTAATTAATCATATCGAAAAAAATTCGTAGAAAAAGTTTCATACAAAAAAACATGTCAATTTTGGCCAGACCTAACAAATGTTGAACAAAAATGGGTCTGGCAAAAATCGACATGTTTTTTGTATGAAACTTTTTCTTCGATTTTTTTTCGATATGATTAATTAATCTCTTGCACAATCAATTAATCATGATTAATAGCGATTAAATGATTAAGTGCCGTCTTAATCATCCGAAAAATGATTGTGCAAGAGATTAAGTAATTGCAAAACGCCCACCTTTAACTAAAACTTCGAAAATTTTGTATGAGAGGTACCCGTAAACCGATTCTCATTGGCTTTCTGAGGTTTCATTTTTTGGAGAAAAAATAAGATTCTGAAAGTTTCATGTTGATCGCATCTGCAGAAGTTTGGTTTTTGGCCCTCAATTTTTTCCAACAAAATGTCGACAAAAATTGAGGACAAAAAATCAAACTTCTGCACATGCGATCAACATGAAACTTTCAGAATCTTATTTTTTATCCAAAAAATGAAACCCCAGAAAGTTTGAAGCCAATCAAAGTCGATTTACGGATACCTCCCATACAGAATTGTCACTTTTTAAATGATTTCTTGGGTCATTTCGAAAATGGCTCATCTTCGAACTTAAACTAAGTTTTTCGAATACAAAACTTTTGGCATTTCCAGATTTTGATTATCTCAATTATTTTTTGAGTTATCGTGTTAACACACACCAACGACGACAACGACGACGACGGCACACGAACGGAAAAGTGTCTCAAAAAGTGGTTTTCTACGCGTTTCATGAGTTTTTATGATGATCTAAACCAATTTTGCGAAAAAAGTTTTCGAGACCAATTCCTATACTTTCCCTTGACACGTTGTGTACGGAAAAGTAATAAAAACCCAGATTGACTGAAAACCCGAAGTACCGTTTAATTTGTCTAGGGATTAATTTTACACTGACATGAAGATGGATTGCAACATAGTGAATTGTTTATGGAGATCATTCAGACGTCAATAAAGTACCTCCTTGTAACAAATGCGTCTAATATTATTCGAATTTCTAACCTCAGACAGACGGAATTTTTCTAGTCTCATACAAAAAAGGACAAGATAAAACATTCAAAAGCATTGCAATAAGCTGATGGATTTTGTCTAATGACTAATCAATTCAAAATTTTATTCGATTAAATATTTTTTCTTTACATGATAACAATCTGAAAATTCAATTAATTTGCAATTGAATAAATTATGTTTCTGTACATTTCAATCAAAGTTAGAATCGACCATGATATGAAGCTGATTGGCAATACGATAAGACAGCGTTTACGGTGTTCCGTGTCGAAGCATAAGTATGTAAACCTATCTCAACAAATTTTCAGTGATTTTTAACATTTTCTAGATTGAAAACATTATTATAATTAGATACAGTGTTAAGAAACTCTTTCATATATCATATGTCGAAAAGTCAACCGGGCAAAAAATCGAGCAGAGGAATGTCCAAATCTCATCTTCGTGCGAATCGACGGTGATGGTAACAACTCGTTTCCAAACGAGTACTATACAAATAACAGGAAAACTGGCAATAAATTAAGAGTGCTGCAACAAAAACTTCAAGCAGTTTGTCCTATTCAAAGTCCGTTGTTTGGTTTTGCTCGCAACTATTTCAGTCGTCAACTTTGATAGCGATTCCACCGATGGCAACATCAAGAGCAACCTTCAATACAAAATATATCGATTACCAAAAGCCAATCGCGACACATTGGCCTTTTTGGTTATACGTTTACAAAGACAAATTGCAATTTGTCCAAATTATTGGTTACTCAAAGCAAGAGCCAGGTCATGCAACAATTTTCATGTGAACTTTTTAATGGACCATTTTATTCACCTATATGTTGATAATCGATGTCATGCGAACAAAAGTGAACACAAATGAACATTCATGTTCAGTTCACTTTGTTCGAAACATGGAAAATGATGTTCAAGTTTTTTATGAACTTGAACGAACATGAAAAGTTCGGATCAACTGACAGCTCTAATACACACCAAAATTTCGGAGGGGAATGGATAATCTAGATACAGTGCGAAATAGCGGTTTCAACTGTTTTTGGATGAATTTACACTAATTTTAGGGGAAAATGTGTTATTGCTTATGCGAACGCTCAAGTGGCTACTATTCATATACGTGTCAATACATAGACACGCACTGGTCATCAAGTCTGTGCAGTTGTATGTATTTGTATGAATTGAACGAGTTGGTGTGTGCAAAATTTACAATACATGCAACTGCACAGACTTGATGACCAGTGCGTGTCTATGTATTGACTAAAATTAGTGTAAATTCATCCAAAAACAGTTGAAACCGCTATTTCGCACTGTATCTAGATTACTCATTCCCCTCCGAAAACTTACAGTGTATAGAGATTAACTCAAAGCATAGATGAGCACGAGTAGGCTTCCATGAGAGCCTAAAGAGACTACTTGGCACAGTACTAACAAAATTTATATTTGCAAATAGTAGAGAAAAGCAGATTTTTTTTTTCTTAAAAACGAATTAAAACATCCTGATTGTATTTTTGAAAATAAATAAATTAATTAAAATTGCTTTATTTCGAATAATTCATACGGATATCAAAATGAAGTAATCATCAGTTCTAGTGGCCTAGTAAGTCTTAAAAATTTCTTGGGGAAAAAATAATATTATATCCATGTAATGCTAAAAAAATTCAGATTAGTAACCACTACATTTCATGTAGTCCTAAAAATAGCATGCTAGTTATCTATGTATTTATTGTTGATACTAAGTTCGATGGCACAGATCTCAGTGATGGCCACGAAAAGACCACGATTGACAATAATTTGAAAAAACATCGTAACTCGTTAATTAAGTTGTTCATCAAATATTTAAACAATCGATATTCCTCCAATCAAATTCAAAACAAATTTAATAAGAAACAAAAATAAGTGAATCGGATTTTATTTATTATTTGTTCAGCAGGTACACAAATATTAATTTCACACACTTTTATTGATAAATGTAAATGCGGTTGATAAGCAGCTAAAAAAGATTAGTTAACTCAGGCAATCGTTCGAAAATGGAAAAGAAAATGATGAAGTTTGATATTGGATAGAAAAAAGTATGTTATTAAACAACAAGACTTCTTTTTTTTCATCAAATTTCGTGTTTAATGCTCATAACACTTTTTTCTAGGGGCTTCACACGATTTTGCAGAACGCAAATAACTCTGAAAAAATAAAAATAATAGTGAATCAAACCTTCAACCGAAAATTTGAACCACTTTTGAAGGATTTTGGCAGATTTTGGTGGATTACGGTGAATATTGAAACATTTTTTGACTATACAATCTGCACTAATTTACTGGTATGCACGTCAATCTCAAATATCTATGTATATTTAATAATATTCATTAGACTGTAATGTCAAAAAATGTTCCAATATTCACCGTTATCTACCAAAATCGTTCAAATTTACGGTTGGAGGTTTGATTCACTACTATTTGCTACTATTTTTATTTTTCATACGTATACACGTAAATTTGACATATCTATGTATATTCAGTAATATTCATTTGTCGTTCACCATGAATATTGTTGAATATACATGGATATTTCGGATTTGCAAGCATACCATTGAATTTCTAAGTTATTACTTGATGCGTGCGGATATAAAAGATGAAAAAAAATGATTTTACCCCCTAGACTTTTTTAAATGACAATGTGTGAGAAAAAAATTCACGAATAAGCTGATAATTATCGAAATTCTTCATATAACAAATAACAACGTTAAAACCATACAAAACCATCAATTCTGGATTATAGCTTTGTGAGCACACGACCTAGTTCAACGTGGTGAAAATATAGCTTCCCTTAAGACATAAACGTTTCATTTCTTCTTCTTTCTCACTTTATTTTTCTTCCTTCTTCGAACCCGCATTTAAATCCAAGCTTTCAATACACATTGACTAATTTTGTATAACAATGGCAGCGTCGATAGTGTGAAAAAGAAGAAGCAGTATCGTCAACGAAAAATTGTATTGGTTTGCATACGGATGTGTTATCCAATTTAAGATTAACATTTTATTGCGGATTTTTTTTCATTTTTTAATGATTTTGATATATATTATGTGCAACGATAAATAGAGAAAGACCTCATACTTATCTTATTTAGGTAAGTGTTATGGTAAAAAGTTTTTTTTTTAAATGGGGAGTCTTTCCAGATAAAAACTCTTGAAAGTTACATTTTGAGGTAGCTCACGAACAAAAAATGGTAATTTGATCCATACAAAATGTCACTTTTGTTCAAAAACAAAACACTTTACCTCAATTTCTAATGCTTATTTCTGTGTGTGTATATGTGGCGTCTTGCCAACTTCTTTTTTATCTTTTAAATAAAGTAAATAAAATTATTTGCGTTCTAAATTGGATTCTAGTTTTAGTTAAATTTATTTATTTAAACTGATTAGTTCAATGACAGCTTTGGTTGAACACAACAACTCACAATTGTTCAAGAATCTATTTTCTAATTCTATTTGTTTGGCATAACATCGTGAAATCTGGTTCTCAAGTCGGAAACTTTAATCGTCTCAATCAATGAAGTTAATATTTTCTTTAGTTTGGTAAATATTGAATACAACTAGTGTTTAAACTAGTTTAATTGCGGAGATTAATGCCGAAATCCTCAATAGAAATTGAGTATATAAGAGCCAATGTTCATCGATGAAATCAAGTATTTAATTCAAATTAATTATTCGGTGAACAGCAAATATAATCAGATTTCAGTTGGAAACTATTCAAAATGTTCAAACATGTGGTGTTGGTTGTTTTAGTTGCCATTGTTGCGAACCAAGTGTCTGTTGATGGTAAAGAAATAGTTCTTTTTTTTCGATATTAAAGATAATAATTAGTTCTAACGATTCAAAATGTTTCGTTAAATTGGACATTGTAGGATTCCGTTTTAGGCGTTTCCAAAACAGAAACAAAAGCAACGAAGGTAATAGAGTGGTGATTATTTCGACATGCAGTAATAAGTACGGAGGATGTAAGAGCGGTTCAGGCGGACACGGTTCAGGCGGACACGGTTCAGGCGGACACGGTTCAGGCGGTTCTGGCGATGGGCATAAATCTGGTTCAGGAACGAATGGAAAAGGAAGTGGACATGGAAGTGGAAGCCGAGGCAATGGTGGTGACGGTTCAAGTAGCGGAAGTAAGCTTACATCAAATTTATTCTTGAAATTTGCTTTGCGTTGAAGCGATCAATGCGATTACTTAAAAATCTACAATTATTTGTCATTATTTTGAAACGACTCGATCGCTCTGACACTTGAAACATTATCAATACCAAAACTGATTCAGAAAGTTACACATTTGTATTTGATATGATATGTATTTCATGATTCTACGTATGTTTTAGGTAGTGGAGATCCAAATATCATTATCGGTATGGAGTTTATATCATATATTGTTATAAACATAATGAAAATGAACACACGGGGGAAATAAAATTAACTACACATTTTTTTCTCATAACAGTACCATTTCCAAGTGATTTGTTTGGTTCAGGTAAGAAAAAGACATGTTTTCCCTAACTCTATGTAATTTTCAAATTGACGTGTTCCTTAGTAAAAATTAATCACACAATCTACGTTTCGACAATGCATAGTTGACATTGTTTTCACACTATTTTGAACATAAAACAGTGTGGCTATAGTATAATAGACGCATACTTGTGTAATTGCGTGTATTGTAATCCCAAAAAGAAATTGACACTAGTTTGGCGCTTTCATATGTAGCGTATACTAATCGGCTGCTGGTTTGCTGCTTTTATACCGCATTACACTCAGTATGTTGAAGTATATAAGTAGCACAGTGGTGTTTTTTTTTTAAATTTAAGATCGTACATCGCGAACGAGTGTCTATAAAATTGGTTGACGTTTCACTCCTATGGACGCCACCATATTGAAAATTCACGTGTGATATGATGCACACACTCAATAGTTCCACTTTTTTAAAATAAGGAATCTCTATAGGTGGCTGTCACATCGTCATTGAAATCGATTCAAATATCGTCAAATATAAAAACATTGTTTAAATAGGCTTTGATTGTAGTATGTTTAAGGTATTTTCATTGTGCGATAGGCAAAGCTTTCACGATGCAATTTTTCTATTGTGTTTATTTTCTTAGGAAACTACTGAACGTATGTTCTATTTTTGTGAAAATTTATTAGCTGAAATCATACAAAATAATATTCATGAGTCCTAGAAGTAATGTCAATTATATTTTTGAAAATTAGGCAATGGTAATAATGGAAATAATGGCAATGGGAATAATGGAAATAAAGGCAATGGCAATAATGGCAATGGCAGTAATGGCATTGGCAGTAATGGCAATGGCAGTAATGGCAATGGCAGTAATGGCAATGGCAGTAATGGCAATGGGAATAATGGCAATGGTAATAGTGGAAATGGTAACACAGGATCAAACGGAGCTGGATCGGGAAATGGAAACACCGGTTCAGGTACAATTGTTGATTTTTTGAAATTTTAATAATATGTTATTATTATTTTATGTCTGGACAATAATAAACATTGACATGGAAATATTTAAAAAAAAGTTTCATGTAAAGTATATGTTGGCGAAGCGCGACATTATATGGGGAACTGCGAAATAAAGTTCATTTCGAAATGCCTCATACATTCACATAGCACTTTTTTCATGGAACTCTTTTATGCTATACAAATGCATTGGGCATTTCGGTAAACGTCGAAATATCACGAAAACGGCTGGGAAAATCGGCGAAATCGACCATGGCTGGTTCGGTGGCCTAAAATTCAAATCCGGTGGAATTGGTGCTGATTGGTGGATTCTTAGAATTTGGCCTGTTTTCAGCACTTCCATTCTTTTGTGTATTCGTAAAAATCATTTTTCACACACACACACACACACACACACACACTTAATAACTAATAACGCTATTAAAATCAAAAAATGTTCATTTTTTTTGGCGCGTACAACTGTAGATTCAGGATCAAACGGAAGTGGATCGGGAAGTGGCAACACCGGTTCAGGTACAATTGTTGATTTTTCAAAATGTTAATATGTACTCAGTTAGAAAAAAAGTCGAAATGTTTGTGTGACATTTACCAAATAAGATAAAAGTGTCGGACTTCACTTTATTTTGGTAGACACTATGTATTTGTATTCATTTAATAGTAGAAATAGCCGTCTTTTTCGGTAGATGGTGCGGTAACTTCAACCAATATAAAGTAATGTCTGACAATTTTACTTTATTTTGGTAAATGTCACTAACATTTTGACTTTTGCTTTAGAACTGAGTAATTACCCGAGTGAACACAATTGGATTCGATTTCCATCACGCTTTCATTGACTCTATACACATTTTAAAATTTAAATACTGAACTCCCAGGCTTTCATTGTTATTCTCACTTCTTTCTTTGTACATTCGTATGTATAGCAACGGACGCCTAAGCGTTCAGCTGTACTCTATGAAAATTGGAAGTAGTTTTTCCCGCTATGTTTCATCTATGTTTATTACTTATAAGTTACTTATAAGTAGAACATGTATGGACATGTCGGCGTATTTTCAGCGCAAAATGACTTGGAAATACTATGCAAGTAATTTTTCACGCTGGGAATCCGCTCTTCCGTCCATACACATTCTACTTATAAGTAGTTTGCTTCGACTTATACGCTGTCGAAGTAATGTATATGTAGCAATGTTCTACATTGACACCAAAATGTTGTCAAACGTTCTACTTACACGCTGATATGTGTGTGTGTTAAGTAGATGGTTGCTCTCTTATCTTTTATTTGGGCGCAAATCAAAAACACCAGCCTATGGTATGTTTTTTTTGTTATCATTCTTCGCGTTTTTCGCGAAACTGATAAGAGATAAATGAAAACTGTCTGAAGCAAAGTTGTAAAGGGCCGTAGGTGGTTCTATAATTATTTTTGGGTCACTACAATAAACGTAGGTGGTTCTACAATTATTTTTGGGTCACTACAATTAATTCTGGGTTACTTCAATTAATAAAACAGTTTGGACCAGTTTTGGAGCATTTTTTCTCCCTACAAAAACAAAACACTGCTATTGTCAAATAAGTTGTTGAAAATATGAAGAATCGGACGACTGATTTGAATTCTACATTTTTTCTACAATTTTATGGACCCTAGGAACAATAGAAAAAAGATTTAGTTTGTGGAAAGTTCGATTTGGGGCCAAGATTTGAGTATTACCGATTTTGGACCAATTTTCATGACTCGTCCCGATATCGAACGAACGGGCAGACATATTTGAAAACAGACAATTGATTTGAATTCTACAATTTATCTACAATTCTTTGAAACCATTCTCCATTCGAAAAAACATTTGATTCATGGAAAATTCGTTTTTTGACCAAGATTTGAGTATCCCCATTTTGGAGCGGTTTTTCGATAGCCGATTACTCAAAAAAATTGTTCCTACATAAAAAAAGTAAATACACTACATTAAACTACATAAAACCTACAATTGAAATCGCCCTACCCGAAGACATTTCGGCAAATTTGCCAAGATTTGAATATTCATCTATCCATACATGTTCTACTTATAAGTAACTTATAAGTAATAGACATAGATGAAACATAGCGGAAAAAAACTACTTCCAATTTTCATAGAGTATCTAAAACGTACACAGCTCAGCTCAAGGCCAGAACAGTATTTTGTTTTCCACAATTTTAATTTTCGGAAATGGTCATTTTACCCTTAGCGTAGTATTTCAGATCAATAACAAATGAAATATTTATGAAATTTTGTGACAAAAATTAATTTACACGGTTTTTTTGAGTAAGCAGTTTTTTTCCTGAATATTTAATCGGCGTTATCGGTTAACGTATCATTATTAAGTTAAAAGCGCTGTTAATATTAAGATATATTTATAATAACTGTATGTTCAGGATCAAACGGAGGTGGATCGGGAAATGGCAACACCGGAGGCACTGGTTCAGGCTCAGATGGATCAGGATCGGGAAACAATAGCGGCAACAATGGCGGCAATGGTGGCAACAATGGCGGCAATGGTGGCAACAATGGCGGCAATGGTGGCAACAATGGCGGCAATGGTGGCAACAATGGCGGCAATGGCGGCAACAATGGCGGCAATGGTGGCAACAATGGCGGCAATGGCGGCAACAATGGCGGCAATGGTGGCAATGGTGGCAATGGTGGCAACAATGGTGACAATGGCGGAGGTAAAAAAATGTCGACTAAATGCTTTAAGTTCGATTCATAATAAACTAATATTATCTATCCACAATTTACAGGAAACACTGCAAGTAAGTAATTTTGACTGCATAGCCATAAACAATTCAAACACAAAATATCTGCTCCAAATATAATTTCAAATCACAGTCTCACTCAATTAAAAAAAGTGAGGTTATGTGTTTGTAATGCATTTTACCCATTTTGACCATCCGCTTACTGTCAGATTCTGAACAATTGTAGAGCGCCGTCCATACATGACGGCGAAATCAGCTGTGAATAGCTGTAAGTGATTTCGATATATTGTGAAGTATTGCGAAATCACAGCAATTAGTACTGAATTTTGCCGTCATTAATGGACGGTGCTCTACAATTTCACAATTTGTATTTTGTATACAATTATGACCGTGTAATTTTGGCATGATGACCACATAACCTAACTTTCAACTACTGAATTGACTGTGACTTTGAAATAAAAAATGTTGTGTAAAATTTTTTTTCGCTACATCGATTTGAAAATTTCCATATATAGCCAAATTTTAATATTTGGAAAAATTGAATTTAGGCCCATACTCGTCCCCTATTGGTTATATCGTTTCAATGTTTTCAGCAAAGTTGTAGCCAAAAGTTCAAGTAACAAAATTTATGAACATTCTATACCTCAAAAATTGCATCTGACTAGGCTTTTATTTGGATAAACTTTAAAAATATCACAGTTCAAACAGCTGACAAATCCATGAGATGTACGGGGCCAATATTGAACTAAATACCGATATTTCAGCGAGTAACGTTCATGAGGGTCTGTTACAGTTCAATTCTGTCAATTTTAGTACTATTTAGTACTACGTAGCATCACCTACAGGTGTCCAGAACCATTGAGAGGATTTAGTAGTTTTCAGTACATTTTAGTACTCTTTTAGTACTGGGCCTGCAAAGCCCATGAGAAGTACTAAAAAGTTGCTTCAGAAACTATTGCTCTATTTCGAGTAGTTGAGAAGTTATAGAACTCCAAAAATGCTCGATGATATCGTTTGGTAGCGACAAGTGACTTTGAGCCAAAAAAGTGAGCTAAATTTGATATTTTTGGGTTAATGTGTTCAGGAGAGTTGTTTAGTTCGACGCAAGCTACAATAATGCCAAAGAAAGAAAACAAAAAATGGATATTTTCACGAGTTATGGTCGAAAAAATGGAAAAAATCGCCCTTTTTTCGACATTTGGCCCTATAAGCCTAGTCAGATGCAATTTTTGAGGTATAGAATGTTCATAAATTTTGTTACTTGGACTCTTGGCTACAACTTTGCTGAAGACATTGACACGATATAACCAATAGGGGACGAGTATGGGCCTAAATTCAATTTTTCAAAATATTAAAATTTGGCTATATATGGAAATTTTCAAATCGATGTAGCGAAAAAAAGTTGTTCGGGTGAGGAAAAAGTGAGAGTGCTGTGAAGCTAGTCTATCAAAGCCCTACATTATGGCATATGCCGTTTAACTCAACTCGCGCAACCATAGTTGATGGTTCCTTGTAAGTTTCCGTGAGTGATACGCAAGGTGGCAGCACCTTAAATGGCGTTTTTATACACAAAGTAGATACTTGATCGTAAATTATGTTAGTGGCGTATCAAAATGAAGGTTAACTTATTGACAAATACATTGTCAATATAGAGCGTGTGGTGTGACTGAATATTAGGAGTCGATATTTTATGTTTGAATTATTTTTGTTCAGCGTTAGCAATGTACAAAATATATATATGACATGCAGCTTGAGCGAAAAGTGAAGCAATTTTCTTCTTGTTATCGGCGAGCTATCGGCCTATGATGTGTATTAAATGAAGCTAAAACCAATGATATTTTGAATATTGGCCTTAATGTGCACCTAGTACAACTTCATTATCTGACATGAAGCTTGTATTTAAAGTATTTTGTTCAACAGCTCCTGGTCTAGCAATGGTATACCATTTGCTATCGAATTAGATGAATTTTATTATATATGTATATCATTTAAACATTAAAAATGCTTTCTTCCCTCACAGCCACATCCTCCTCATCAAGTACATCCTCTCCACCAAGTACATCCTCTCCACCAAGTACATCCACTACATCAGGGTAAGTCATTAAATTTTTATAAGTGATTAATTTCTATAAATTGTAAGTCATAAACCGTAGATCAGTTGGACGAAATTTTACCGAACTGAGTCGACTCACCGAGACTTACCGACTTTTCCGCTCGGTGATTTTGGCAAAATTTCATCTAAATGATTTCGACTCATTTCGATAAAACTTTGACCTATTTCGGTATAATTTTGTCTAAAGGATTTAGGGTCAAGTACCTACGACTTACGACTCACACAAACTATTTTTATTTATTTCATAGTTGTCAAAATAATGTCGAATTGAGTGCCACTCAAATTGCCTTAATAAATCGAATCACGAGTCTTCTTGGCCTCACGCTTACACAACTCCTGAACCTTATAAACCAATTGGCGGGAAGTACTCTTGTTGAAAGTATTGCGAATAATCTTGCATCAGTTTGCTTGCGATTGGGTGTGAACGTTGGGGATTTAACGTCCGTTCTTCAGAATATCTTGAGAAACCTATTAACCACACTCGCTGGCAATGCTGGCGCCAGTGTAAGCGATCTTCTTGGTAATCTTTTGAACAACACTTCTGTTAATGCCACGATCGGTAACCTTTTAGGTGGTTAACATTTTTTGTAATGTTAATGAAAATTGGTCAATCGAAAAGCACAATGTGCCTATTTCTGGCACGAATGACACCTGACAAATTCGAAATTCAATTTATTTTCACTTTTATATGTTTTTGAAAATCGTATTTACATATGTAATAACTAGTATTACTAGTATAAACTATTTATCTGTTCGATTGTCTAATGTAAACGGAACTTTTTAAATTATTTGTATATTTATTTCACTTTTTCAATAAATTTCTATTTCGATTGCATGAAATTCGTTATTTTTTATTTATCATATAATTAAAAGTTGATAGATCGCACAAGAATGTCGACAATAAATCGTTTTTCCACGTAGATATTATCAAGAAATAATTTATCCCAACCATGGCTATTTCCTATACCGGAAATTCAAACATACTCCAAAAATGGAACACGCGAATAATCTAGAGTCCTATACTGCAAGAACAGTACAACTATTCTTGCAGTCATGATACTTCGTAGAATATTCAATCAGTTACACAAATTTTGTAAAATTTTACTTAGAACTATCAATCTAAAGTTGCTGCAATTGTTGTTGCTGCTGCTGCTGCTGCAATTGTTGTTTCTGCTGCTGCTGCTATTGATCTTGGCCACTATTTCACTTCAAGTTTGATGAAAGCAGCAATGAGACTACACAAAAAACAAGGAGAGAAAAAAACAGATTAGAAATATACACACATATAATCAACGACAAAATACAACATCACCAGCAGCCAAATTCTATGATTAAACAATACTTACCGATATTGTATCGCTTCTGTAAAAAAATTCATCATCGCTTCGGTGGTACAATCATTTAGCGATCTTCGCTGCGCGCCCGGTCATCATTCTGTGGAAATGAGTTTAGCAGCAACTGTGCGATCACAATGTGATGAAACTACACAAGAAACAAGGAGAGAAAAAAACAAAAACAGATTAGAACTACACACACATAATTCACCACGAAAAAAATTGATTCAATTTTAACAACACTCACATACACAATATGCATTTGCAAATTTTGCAACAACACGATTGATTGATCAAAGGATACAGCTAAACCTCCCACTATGCATTTTTTAAATTCTGCAGCTGGTACTCCCGGTTGCAACCAGAAGACATCACCATTCGAGACATTTTACTGTGGAAGGTGATCTATGTACTTCTTTACTTGGTCGCAACCAGTCGCTGTATGACTTTGTGCTGCAACAACATCCCCTTATATACCCGTCGAACGGATATGCCAACTGAAAGAGTGAACGAGACAAAATGAAACATAAAAACAGATAAACATGAGACATAGCAAATCCATCCAATGAATTATGAAGAACAACACACACATCATCATCATTGCTTTTCCATGCATATAAACACACATGGGCGAAACACACATGTATGTATATATGTGTGTGTGGTATCACTGCCTCAAAAAAAAAAATGTTGCAATTGCATTCCATTTTAAAACACTGCGTGTTTGAATCGATTATGGTTTTTGTAGTCAAAGTGACGAGTTTTCAAGGCGAACATTGTATTTTTTACGCATTTACTAAACTGCATTTTGTGTAGTTTATTTATCAATAAATTGGTTTTAGTCTCGTACGAGACATCAATATGTATGATGAAATGATCAAGAAAAATCTCATGAAAACGATACTTTATAGCGCAATGGTTGCCTCTTTGTGTGCACTTTTACACTGGCAGAAATGTGGCTGTGGATTGTTCTTCAAATCTAAATGATACAAATCGGTAATGTGGTCAAAGGTGTCGCGGTTTACATCTCTTAAGTCATTATGGCTTAAATTCAAATAGTCTGGACACCAAACGTGTGCAAAAGAACAATAGTTGATTTCTTGAAGTGAATTTCCACTCAAATCTAAATGAAGCAACTTTCTCAGGCTTCTAAAAGCGCCGTCAGCCAATTTCACAAGTCGATTCTACGATAAATCCAATTCAATCAAATTCGATACATAGTTAAAAATCCGTCGATCAAAGTTCATCAGCCTATTGTGGCTGTAAAAATTCCGCACGAACAAATGCTGTCGTATTGATTTTTGAGATTTCATTGGAAGAAACATCGAATTCCAATATTTTTTTTGGAATTTCGAAAAACAAACGATGGAATCTCGGTGATTTTATTGTAACTAAGCTGTAGTTGTTTTAATTCTTCAAGATTTCGAAGGGTTTGATTGTTTAGTTCATCAATGCTATTATGCGATAAAGACTCTAGGAAATCGCCAATGTTGCTTTTGCCTAAAATGTCAATGTCATTAACAGCATTGACGTTTTACTGACTTAAAAGCATTGAAATGTCAATTGCTTTGACGTTCTAGGCACAAATTTCCGAGAGCCTTTAAAATCTCAACTTGATTCGGAACATCAAAAGCATCGGGATCGATTTGCACGATTTCATTGAAGGAAAAATCTAAATGCTTCACTTTCGAAGCAGTTTT